AGAGAGAGAGAGAGAGAGAGAGAGAGAGAGGAACATTGATGTGAGAGAGACACACTGAGTGGTTGCCTCCCGCATGAGACCGGACCAGGCTGGGGATCAAGCCTGCAGCTGAGGTTATGTGCCCTTGGCTGGAATCGAATCTGGGACCCTGAAGTCCTAGGGCTTACTGACTTGAGAGTGGGGGGGGCGGGGGAGAGAGGAGAGAATGGGGAGAGGGAGAGAGAGAGAGAAACATCAACCGGTTGCCTTCCCATACACACCCTGACCAGGGATCAAACCCAAAATCTAGCTATGTCCCCTGACTGGGAATTGAACCCGCAGCCTTTCCCTGTATGGGACGACGCTCCAGCTGAGCCCCCGGCCAGGGCACATCTCCTCCCTTTGAATGTGTGCTCTGGGAAATGTGGACCCTAAATTACGAGGCTGTGGGGAGCAGGAGCTGTCTGGACACAGGGCACTCTCTCCGGTCTGAGGCTCACCCGGGCAGTGCATGCTGCTGGTTGTCCTAAAAGAAGGGCACATCTGTAAATGGTTCTCCTCTGAAAGAGGCAGTTTGTGCTGATGGACCCCCAAAGACCTGAGAATCATTCTGAAGGCATACACTTCTGTAATCTTAGGCAGGACACAATGTCAAAATGGAGAGGCGAGCCCCTTAACTTGGGGAGGTCAGGGCTAGGGACACGGGTGTGCTACAGCGGTAAGGGCGCAACAGAACTACACCACCTCACGGAGGGCACTTGAGTAGGGAAAGACCCCCGAAGAGCCTTACCATCTTGAAGTTTGCTCACCAGCTTCAAAACCGGGAACTCCCACCAAGAGAGCAGGCAGGTGGCACACGTATGGTAACCACAGCCACAGAGAAACTGTTCAGAATTCCTGAATGAAAAATTCCATGTTCTAGTAATAATTTGACTAGAAAATGAAATATTAAAAATCCAAAATTTGTCGACAAAAATGGAAAGAAGGAAGGAGCGAAAAGGTGGCATGGAGAGACAAAAAGGTGTTAATTTCTTCTTTTTTCATGAATGGAGAGATAAAGAAATACTTTCATTTCTGGAGTTGGTAATACACTCGAACCTATACTCCTCTATTTAAAGATATAAAGGTGAGCAATACAAGTCAGATAGACCATCTCCCAAAAAAGAAAAAAGAGGGGTGAAAGGAAAAAAAAATGTGTTAAAACCTCAGGCAATATAGCAAAAGATTTTTTAAAAAGACGTAATATGAAGCATCTTCTAAAAGGGTAAAACCCAAATTGGGTTTAAAAGAAAAAAAAGCAAGAAGTCTATCAAGATATTTTCTCTAAGAGACACACCTAAAACAGGCTTGAAAGACTTAAAATGAAAGTCTGAGGAATAAAATAGCACACAAATGCAAATTCTAAAAACAGGGGTTAGCCGTTAAATTCAACTCTGGCGTAAATTCAATCAAGGCCATCACACAAAGAGTGTCACTGTGCACAGTAGGAAATAAACAGGGGAGAAAATCCTGTAACACTTTGACTGCAAAGGGCTAATTTCCCTAATATGTAAATACCTTACACAGCCAAGAGAAAGGGGCACAACACAACAGAAAAAGGTAGGCAAAAACACCAACTCAATCAGAACACTGATACCAATAAACACCTGAGAAGGTGTTTGCCCTCAAAGATAGACAAAGGCCTTCCTCACATTTCCAATTGGCTAATCACACAGAAAACAAAACGCAAACAACAACAACAAATTACAGAGAAGCAAGCATACCTACAACAGCAGTGGAAAGCGGAAACTCAGGCAGGTTTTTTGGTAAGTTGCTGATTAAAATCTTAAATGGCCTATCCTTTAATCCAGGTCTTCCACTTCCAGAACATTTTCTTAGCCAAAAACACTCAGATGCTTACAGACAAATAAATAAAAGGAAGCTTGTTAAGGCACGGAGACTGTTTAAAATGTCTGTCAATAGGGATGAGCTAAAGTCACAGCACATCCAAATGGGCAGCTTTGAAAGAAAGCTCTCCTGGTGCAGCCTATAAGCAGAAGGGAGCAAGAGGCAGACAGGGACACGCCGCACAGTGCAGTCCTGCCCAGGCAGGAATAAAGCCCAAGCACAGGGGGAACTCCAGAGGACAAGGGCAACTTCAACAGTGTCTTCTGCGAAGTGGGGAGGGAATGGGAGAGTGGGGGGATGGGGGGTGCTTTCCCTCACTCCAATACATCTTTCTGTGGTTTCAGTACTATAGTCATCAAAATATTAAAGTATCTTTTAAAAAGTGTGTTAATGTTCACTGCTGTATCAAAACAATACCAAAACAAAAACAATACCAAGAACCCGCCACCTCCTGTCCTATCTTAAGCGTTTAAGAGTAAAATCTATTGAAAGATGATCATCTAAAATTTAGTGACAAGAATTTAGGCACAAGACTTCATCAGCCTGTTATTTGGTTTTTGGAAGAGTCAGGACTTAAATCGTTTGCAAGTCAAAATTTCTTGGGTCATCAGTTGTCACTCGGTGGTATTAAAATAGGGAGCAAAAGCCACGGCCGTGGGAATCCGAGTGGCAGGCTGTGGCGGTGTGAAGGTAGGAAGGTGTTTCCACGTTGGGCACACGAAGGACACAGGATTCGTTCTAGAGAGTGATACCTCGGGCGTCACCGAAGCTTCCGCGGGGCGTCCAGAGGTCCCACGCGCAGAAAGGTTGTGTTCACTTCCATTCACTGCACAGCCACAGCTGCAGCCAGAAAGAGGACACCAGCTGTGCTGCTGCTCATACCCGCTGCCAGCCGGGTAACCCTGGTGGGGCTGGAACTTCGGGTTCACTCTGCTAGCAGAGGGGAGACACCAGGAATGACATCACCAACCAAGGCAGAATCCTTCAAAACCACAGGGCTCTTTCTCCTTCCCCAGAAATTACAAGAAGTATGATTTCTGCTTTAATTGTTGAAGAGCACCAATTTTCAAAGCCATAGTTTTTAAGTTGCTGAAAGATATATAAGAAATAGAACACTAAATGACCTTCATTTTCACTTAGAGTAGGAAAAAACACCTCACCTTTGCCAGTACCAGTAATAATGATTTTGTTGAGCTATGTCAAAACCTCCAAAACTCTGCTGTCCGGCCATTTATCCAGAAACTTGATAAAAAGAGACAAAGAATCTACAGTTTTTACTCCTGAGTCAAAAATTCCAGCTTGTGAGCTAAAGCCTCTCAACCCGGCAAATAACTCTCACAATTGCTTTAATTCCTGCTAAACAATTAACTGCTTGGCTTTCACGACAATGAGGTTAAGGTGTGGGGAGAGGCAGGGAGTCACCTGGGGTAACCGCAGCAAATTCTTCAGCTGGCTTTGGGCTGCCAGCCCCCTCTCCCAACCATCAGGCCTGGGGAAGCTGCAGAGCTCTAGGGGGACAGGGGGGTGGTATGTGTTGGGCAACTGCGAAGGACACAGAAGTCTCCACCCCCACCTCCTAGATAAGAGAGTTACTTTTAATAATTAAAATTTTAGGACAAATACCACAATCTGATGTTCCCTTCTCAGTTTAGTTATCTACAAACAGAACCAGCACCTAGTGGACGTTTTTCCCCCCTACAGGTTGAAATCATCCCAGCCAGCTGGTGGGAAGAACTGGTACATCACACACATGAGCACGTGCGCACGCACATACCCCTCCCTACCTTAATGCAAGTACAGACAAAAAAACTGAAAAAAATAAATCTGTGGTTCAGTATTTTTTTTTTTTAAAGCACAGTTAAGCTTCCCAAACGTCAATGCATGTTCGCAATAACTGGGCATGTTGTTTAAACTGTATGTTATGGTTCCATAGATTTGGAGTGGACCCTCAGAGTCTGCCTTTTCTAGCCAGCTCCCATACACTTTAAGTAGGAAGGCTACCCAAAATGTCAAAATTTAAGAAGATAACTTGTGAGTCCGAAAAGGAATAGTCAGGGCCTGGCAGGAGTGGCTCAGTTGGTTAGGCTTCATCCTGTGCACTGAAATGTTGCCAGTTCGATCCCAGGTCAGGACATGTACCTGGGCTGCAGGTTCCATCCCCAGCCAGGGCACGTACTTATGGAAGGCAACCAATTAATGCTTCTCTCACACTGATGTTTCTCTCTCTCTTTCCCCCTTCCTCTCTCTAAGCATGCCCTCTGGTATCCTCAGGTGAAGATTGAGAAAAACAAAAAAACAGCCCTAGCCAGTCTGGCTCAGAGTGTCGGCCTGTGGGCTGAAGGGTCCCAGGTTCGACTCCAGCCAAGGTCATATGCCTCGGTTGCAGGGTCCATCCCTGGCCCTGGTTGGGGCACGTGCAGGAGTCAACCAATCGATGCGTCTCCCTTGAATCAATGTTTCTCTCTCTCTCTCTCCCTCTCTCTCTGAAAAGCAATGGAAAAAATATCCTTGGGTAAGGATTAAAAAAAAAAAAAAAAAAAGGAACAGGGTTTCGCAATTTCCCTGAAGCTTGTTAATAACTAACTATTCCTCTATTAATGAACTATTCCACTCTTCCAGTGCTTGATGTATTCTATATGTGCCTGTAATGAGAAAAATAATAGTCATGATGAATTTAAACTATTCACCCATTAGTTACTGAGCCCCTACAAGGCAGGGTGACTGGCACTGGTAGCCCAGCGGAGGTTATACTCTAGTGGATCTCCCATGTCTTCAGAGAGATGTCACTGATTAGCAGCTGTGGCACACATTGCTAGGTACCACCCAATATTATTTCCTTTCCTTTTCTTCCTTAATAACAGAACCCTGATTTAATTTGGGGGCAGCAGCAGGCCTCCCTAAAAGATTACATGTCCTACCTTTCCCCTTGCAGGGGATGTGGCCAGGTGGCCAAAGTCTGGCTAATAAGATGTAAGTAAGAGCTATGATAAGGGGATTGAGGAAGGCTGTGCAGACAAAGGCAGGCCTTTTTGCCCTCCACCCTTTCCCCAAGTGCTGACAGGTGTGACGGCTGGAGTCAAAATAACTGCACCTATCTTGGCCTATGGGATGATATCAAGGAGTAAGTCCGGCATGCAAATATAGGATTGGAAACAGAGAATGGGGTCTGGGACCCAAGGACTGCAGACTGACCCCTGTACTAGCACTACACTAGCCTACCTCCAGTTCTAAGAAATAAATGTCTTAAGCCACTGTCGTGTTAAGTTATATGAAGTTACACAGTTCTTTAACAGCTTAGATATAAAATAAAGTATCAGTTAAAGATTTTCTTTTATATTAGGTTTTTTTTCTCCCTCTCTTATTTTTAGGACTTAATTTTTATTTTTTTTATTTTTTTAAGAAAATCATAATTCTGGCTATGATGGGTGAGAGAGGACGCTGGATGGAGAGGAAAGTGGGAGTTGAACATTGATAATAAGGTGCTGGGGAGGCTGAGGATGGGAGAGGCCAATGCAGAAAGTTGAAGTACCTGGGAAGGTGGCCAGAGTGGCCCAGAGCACCGTGAGCAAGGCTCCAGAGCTGAAGATAGACATTCAAGGGTTTTGCAGATGAGAGTGACAGGGAAGGGTTCACAGACAGTTTTGCTTTCTAAAAGCCTCCAATGCAAGCTTCTCATATTTCACCTGGGTTAGTCCCATGAAACAAGTGAAGCAAATTTATATCAGGTTAGACCATTGGCCAGTGTCCGGAGGAAGTAGCCCACTCTGTTTCCCTCAGCCCTACGTGCAAAGGGGACCAGAGTCCTCTGGGAATGCAAGCGCATGCAACCTCTGCAGTCCTGAAACTTAGCAGACTTGCTACCTGTTACATTGAGAAAAGAGGATAATGGGGCAGGAATATTAGACTCACGTGGCATTTCTAACAGGGCTGGTTTTTCTCCACTGTGTCCTGCTTTTAGCCCAGTATATCCACTTTATCACTACCCCTACCACAAATCCCCCCCAAAAGAAAAACTGGCTGCTTTTTCTTTAGCAAGCCAAAGCCAGGCACTCAACAAATATCTATTGAAAGAATGAATAAATAAATGCATGGCTTACATGTAAAAAGCTTTCAATCAGTAATTTAAAAGCAAAACTAAAAATCCTGTTGTGTTTTAGTATTAACCAGCTCGGAATAGCTGGTTGTTTCTTGGCAAGTTTTCACAAGAATGAGACTAAATGGCTTCTTACATCCTGTGTTTGAAAAAGGAACAGGAGGTTTTGCAGGAAGTATGTTCAGTTTGAATCCAGTTGAACAGGTACATAATTTTGTATTGTGTTCTTCTTTTACATAATGAAAAACCACGGTTAAAGAGAATGCTCAAGCCCAAGGACACAGAAAAAGCAGCAGCAGCACTAGGTCTACTGTTACTTAGCTGTGTGGTTTTGAAAGAGTTCCTCTGCTGGACCTATTTCAGCATTTATGACCTTGGACTGCACTAGTGTATTTTTATCTTAACGAGGCTCTAATCTTTTTAAAAATGTAACAAAATTTTATCAATGCTCTCCTCCAAAAATTTTGCATATAATTCCAGGGGATTCAAAACTGCAGAAAACAATCCATGAGCTCCCTAGTAGAAGCACCTGAACTAGATGCTGAGGTCATCTGAGCTCTGCAATTGGTTCCACTCATCTCTAACAGTAAAAAAAAAGAGTAAACCACTTTGAGTTATATTTGTTGCTTACACTATGGTTTTCATTCTAGAAGCAACTATATTCTAAAAGATTGGAGCAAAAGGCTTTTTCAAGCCTCAAGGTTTGTGTCTAAAATGTGTCAAATATTGCCCTAGCTGTTTTGGCTCCGTGGTTAGAGCGTCAGCCTGAGAGCTAAAGGGCCCCGGGTTTGAATGCAGCCAAGGACACGTCCTTGGTTGAAAGCTCAATTCCCCAGCTCTGGTCAGGGCAACCAACCGACGCTTCCCTTTCTCTCTCTGTCTCCCTTTTCCTTCCTCTCTGAAAAGCAATGAAAAAATATCCTCAAAAGAGGATTAAATAAAGTGTGTCAAATACTTAAACAAGTAAAAGTGTGGCAATCTGATAACAGATGCTGAACATAGTAATTATCCTGTAATAGTGATATGTTAAAATTAATTTTAAAAAATATTAAATAAGTACTAATTCTTCACAGACAGACAGCAGGTGAGATTTCTCTGGGGTGAAGAGGCAGGGCACCAGGGGCATTCCGGAAGCAGCAGAATATACACAGCACAGGATTTTGAAACAGTTTTATTCAAACTATTTTTTCCCTTTCGGATGAGAAAATATTACTTTCACATTAAAATAAACAGATATGTCATGGAGTAAAACGCAAAAAGACGTATTTTTTAAAATATGAGGCTTCAAGGAAATGCCCAGCTTACTCAACCTTTTTTTTTTCTTTATTGATTTTTAGAGAGGGAGAGAAACATCAATTTGCTGTTCCACTTATTTATGCATTGTTGATTCTTGTATGGGCCCTAACTGGGGTTCGGACCCACAACCCTGGCGCTTAGAGAGAATGCTCTAACCCAGAGGTGCCTGGCCAGGGGACACCTCCTCAAGCAACTCACACACCTCTCACCTTAGTGGGTCTCGGGAGGTAACAGTCAAGAAACAGTAAATAGGAAATAATTGAAATAGTAAAATAACTTCTGACTTTTTGTGACATAAAAAGATAATCAGCACAAAACAAAGAAGTTACTATAAAACAGTGAATAACTACAGGTTTCCCAGAGACTGGGAATTAGTTTAGCTACAGCATTCCAGGGCCCGGGGAGTGTGTACAGGTGGAGTCGCCCAAGCATCCAAAGTGAAGTCGCTTCCACAAGACCAAGCATCAGTCGAAGCGAACGCGAGTTAAATACAAACATGTACAGACAATTCAGGACACCGGAGGACGCTCTTGGAAACAAAAGGGCGTGAGTGCTAGAAGATTAGCTCTAAATGGCGTTTGATGAATCGACACTGACCTTTGCATCTACCCCCTGCCGGCCAAACCGACCTGCTATGGCGTCTATAGGCGGCGAATGACACATCCCAGGATTTGTGCGAAGATGTCATTCCTAACACATCCCGAAACCTCCAAACCTCATGAAAATCTCAAATATAAATAAAGGCCATCTTATTTTATTAACGTTTTGACTTTGCACCTAAGCGGGGG